TTAGGGTTAAGGTTGGGATTAGGGTTAAGGTCGCCGTCCGCTTCCCATTCCGGGCTACCAACTGCGATCTAGCCGCCAGTCCTGCCTGACTCGCCCATTTACCCCCTCATGGAATCCGTTATACACTGCCACATACAGGCCAGTCCTGCCTCCTTTTTATTCTTTTATGAGCGACAGTTTTTCTCCTCTAATATTATTCCAGTCATGCTCTTTGTTTTGTAGGTTAGGAGTATTTTTCACTGCGCGCTCATCTGTCTGCGCAATATACTACTTATCCAATAACTATGAATTAAGTATTGTATATATTCTGTATACCTGTTCTAAAATTCTAAAATTCAGTTAGAAGTTATTCTCACTTGCTATGAACTAACCCCCACGGGTCTTGAATGAAAATCCTTATGATTATGTAGGGATATAATTTCAGACGCTGGAATACTTAGCGAGTATATCACTGATAGGCTTGTTGGTAGTTTTTTTGGGTGGGGGGGCGGCGGCGGAGGAGGAGGGAGCATAGAAGGAAGGTAGAACACAGCCAAGGATAGGTAGTTACAATAATTAGAAGATGGGAAACCAGGTCTAGGATGGAAGTCAAAGGAGTAACGTCGACTTAAGTGAGAACTTTTAGCCTAAACTAGTGGTAAGCCTAATATAGGTTAGAGGGTGTAGCGGCACAGCAGTGAGTTTATTTGTAGTCTGTACGCTAACATCATCAGGCCAGATCCCATCGTGGAGTAAAAAACGCAAGTGACCAAAATGAGGGGTTTAATGTATACAGAACCCCAAGTTGTCCTTTGAGACGGCAGTGGCCACTGGCGAAGCCAGAGCTGGTATTGACTAAGTCCAGTCATGCCTCAGAGTCCCTGAGACAGTGGTGACAGCCGCTTTTGTAGGCTCATGGACCAAGCTCAAGTAATGGCCAGTCATTGCCTTTTCAACATGTACGTTAGACCTGGTCTGGAATACTGTTCGTTTTCATTTAGCCTCATGCGTGCTACTGAGCGGAAGAAAATAGAATCCGTTCAACACTTTTTTACTAAGAAAATTTTAACCCCAGAACACCGACATTTGTCTTACCAAGAACGTTGCCGGCTTACAGGCCTCGATCCTTTATGGTTCCGTAGATTACAAAAGGGACTATTTTTGCTATTTAAACTCTTATATAATCACACATTTAACCCGCTCACCTCTTTAAGACATCATATCCACCCACGACGTAACCGTCACCGTGAGGTCTTCTTATTTCTGCCTCTGGCACGTACTGTTAAATATCGTCGGTTCTTTTCTGTAAATGCAATTGCTATTTGGAATAAACTACCCATGAGTGTGAAAACTCTGCAAAATTTTCCTTTATTTAAGAGAACTATTACTCGATTTTTGCATTCAGAAAAGCTCCCACAAATTTTGAGTGCTGAATCTACTGATCGACTGTACCATAGCGATGGCGTTTGTGGTCTCTGAACACTATGGCCGGTCTCACCAGCTGTTCCTCAACGCCTCTACTTTGACTATCCCCAACTTCATGAAAGGAATTTGACGTCCGATAATCTCCGATACCGTGCAACCTGCCCCCTTCTTGACGGTCGATATTCTACCACCGCCGACAGTTTTTTTTCTCCTGAGCCCTCCAAACCACAAAAACCACCATCAACTATATTTTTATGCCTTAAGCTCAGGAGTTTGTTTTTTCACTGCTGGTCGGATTTGTGTTTAATCGCTTCCCTTGACAATGCCTGTAAACTGGCATTAAATTAAAATTTATATT